GTGAGTTACATGTCAAAACTCAGTGGAAATGAACACTCAGATATGTTCATTTCATTTTATATAAATTTTACACCACAAGGAAAAACAAATATTAAAGTAGTTGGTGCTGTAAAGGTAATACAGTACTGAGGGAAAAGAATATATCTGTAATTGACTTTGAAAAGTATCCAAAACTACCATGGACTAATGATCAGGTAGAGGGAAGGATGGACGCCCACATATGTGATGGAGTACAGTAAGAGCTTCAAAACAGAACTTTGGAAGAATATTATTATAATCACTACCTGAGTCAAGAACTAGTTTTTCCAGCTACATAAGAAACTCTTCCGTGTGCCCCACATCAGGCATAGCCATTTGCTCCCTCTTTTGACAAGTGACTTTTGTGCCATTTTGTTAGTTTACCATCCACGCATACATCCCTAAACACAGTGGTAGCTTGGTTTGATCCCTTTTAAACTGAATACATCTTCATTCAAGTCTTTCTGTTTCTTGCAGTGTATCTGTTTAAGGATCGGGGCCATTGTTACCTGTGATGTTTTCCCACACTATTGACTTTGATGGCTACATCTTTCTGGTACCTTCCAACATTGCCCTCTGTTCTCTATATTGCCTGAAAATGAGCAGCTGAAACCAGATGGACAAGAGTCAGATTCCATCCCTTTGGCAAAATTAGGCGATGGTATGTTCTCACCATCTCACTTCATGTCTGCTTTCCACTTTTTCTAAAAAAATTTTAAAGGTCAGTGCTTTCCCTACGTGAATGCATGTGAACCACATATGTGTCTGGTGTCCACAGAAGTCAGGAAAGGGCATCAGAGCCCCTGTGGCTGGAGTTAAGAGCCTGGGAGCCAGCACTTGGGTGCTGGGAATTGAGCCTGGATCCTCTGCATGAGCAACAAGTGCTCTTAAACCCTGAGTCATCTCTCCAGCCCTCAATTTTTTTTAAAATATTGGCAGTTGTGTTCTGTCAATATTAATTGAAGATGTGTTACATCTGTTTATGCTGTGGAACACTTGTTTAATGATGCAAAGGTGTGTTGCATTCTTTTATGTTGCATTTGTTTAACTCTGTGAAGCTGTATTACTTTGCCTGTCTAAAGCATCTAATTGGCCTAATATAAAGGGCTTAACGGTCAATAGCTAGGCAAAGATAAAAATGGGTGGGGCTGGCAGGCAGAGAGACTAAGGAGGAGGAGAAATCTGGGAAGAGAAGATGGAGGATCAAGAAAAGGAGAAGGAAAGAGGACACCAGGGGCCAGCCATACAGCCACACAGTCAGACACGGAATAAGAAGGAAAGAAAAGATATACAGAAAAAGGTAAAAGCACATAGGTGGTGCTGGAGAGATGGCCCAGGGGTTAAGATCACTGGCTGCTCTTCCAGAGGTCCTTGGTTCAATTCCCAGCAACCACATGGTGGTTCACAGCCATCTATCATGAGATCTGGTGTCCTCTTCTGGCAAACAAGCCTACATGTGGACAGAACACTGTATATGTAATAAATAATTTTTTTTTTAATTTTAAAGCCTAGAGGCAAAAGGTAGATGGGGTAATTTAAATTAATAAAAGTTGGCTAAAAACAAGCCAAGCTAAGGCCGGGCATTTATAAGTAAGAATATCATCTCCATGTGATTATTTGGGAGCTGGGTGGCAGACCCCACAAAGAGTAAAGAGTGAAAACAACCAACTACACAGATTCATTTGAGACAGGGTGATTGCTTTGGATATTGCTCTGTATAAATAAAATGTTGATTGGCCAGTAGCCAGGCAGGAAGTATAGGTGGGACAAGTAGAGAAGAGAATTCTGGGAACAGGAAGGCTGAGTCGAGAGATGCTGCCAGCCGCCACCATGAGAACCAACATGTAAGATACTGGTAAGCCATGAGCCATGTGGCAAGGTATAGATTTATAGAAATGGGTTAATTTAAGATGTAAGAACTAGATAGCTAGAAGCCTGAGCCATTAGGCCAAACAGTTTAAATAATATAAAGAGTCTGTGTGCTTATTTTATAAGTGGGCTGCGGGACTGCCGGGGCTTGACGGGAGCTGGAAAGTTCTCTCCAGCTCCAGGTGATACTATCCTAATTCTATTCCATTGTTTCCCTTTAATAGTCAATTATAAGGTTCAAAAGGGAAAGGGAAACCATGGACTGTTTTTATTTACAGTTTTAGAAAAATAAACTGATATAGGTTATCCAACTAGTCTTTCTTTTAAAATACTGTGAACTCCTGGGAGTTTTGTTTTGTTTTTTTCTGTTTGTTTTGTTTTGGGTGTTTTTTTGTATGTTTGTTTATTTTGTTATTTGAAACAGGGTCTCACTATATAAACTAGGCTGGCCTGGAGCTCTCTATGTACACTAGGCTGGCCTCGAACTCATAGAGATCCTCTTGCCTCTGCTTCTGGGTGCTGGGATTAAACACCTGTGCCACCACACACAGATGAAATCCTGGGTTTAAACATCTTCATTAAAGCTCAACTTGTTGGTTTGTAATCTGCAGGAGCCTCTTTCAATGGCCATAAATCTTCTGCCCACAACTCCAGTCACCTTTGCCAACTTCCCCACTGTGTGATAGTCAGAAAATCCCTTTTTTGTTTTTGTCTTTTGGGTTTTGTGCGTGTGTGTGTGTGTGTGTGTGTGTGTGTGTGTGTGTGTGTGTGTGTGTGTCGTTTTTTGAGACAAGGGCTTGCTATGTAAGACATCATCATTACCATGTAGATGAGATTGGCCTCATTTGCCGTCCGACTGCCTCTGTATCCTCAGTGCTAGGATTATAAGCAAGTTCAGCCATGCCCAGGCAGAACAAGGCATTTTGAAACTCTAAGCTGGGAACTAGGGTTATTTCCTAATGTGTTACTAGGGACTTTGTTACTAGGGACATCCTTGTTCTCCACGATTCAGAAGATGGTGGTTAGAGTGTCTCCTCAGATCTCCTGGAACTGGAGTTACAGACAGTTGTGAACTGCCATGTGGGTACCAGGAACTGAACCCGGTTCCTCTGGGAAAGCAGAGTGCTCTTAACCACTGAGCTGTCTCTCCAGCCCCCTCCAGAAGATTTTTTAAATAAAGGTCCATGAGAACCATTTTCCCAGGTTCTTGCAAGTTGATCAAAATTCATGTCAGTCTTTCTGCATATGAAAGCCCCTCGCTCATATGTTCCTTCCTGGAATATCTTCAGTATGTCATTTCCTTTTATTCTGGCATACAGTCTTGTCATCAAAGGATGATAACCATCCAATTTTCTTTGTTTCATAAGTCACATGCTATTTATGCCTAAAAGCTTTCAAGAAAAAAGTTTGTTTTCTTTAAAACTCAAGAACTACTCTGTAGTTTATCTTGGTGTTGGCATTCTGGGTCGACATGCTCAGGTGCATCGTGGGTTTTTTTGACAGGCAGTTCAAAGCACTCCAGTGAATGCTTGGGAAGTTCTCTCTCTCTCTTTTTTTTTTTTTTTTTTATTAAAACTGTTCGGCCATTAGCTCAGGCCTACCACTGACTACCTCTTGCACTTAAACTCAGCCCATTCCTGTCAATCTATATGTCACCAAGTGTTCCATGGCTTTACCTGTGTACTCTTACATGCTGCTCCCTGGTGGACTGGCATCGGCTGACTCAGCCTTCCTCTTCCCAGAATTCTCCTCTCTGTTTATCCTGCTTATACGTCTTGCGTGGCTACTGGCCAATCAGCATTTTATTTATCAACCAAATCAGAGCAACATACATTCACAGCATACAGAACAAGATTCCCATCATTTCCCCTTTTCTTTCTATTTAAAAGGAAGGTTTTAACTTCAACATAGTAAAATTATATATAACACAACAGTTATCAAGCAAGAATTACAGTTGCAATATCTGGTCTATTTATATTTGGCAAAATTAAAGAAAATATCCTATCTATCCTATATTTGTGAGTCTAAAGTTTCATATCTATCTTATCTCTTATTATAACCATGGAAAATTATAACTATCTAACCTTCAACTACATCAAAGACCCCAGAAGGATATAATATTATCTAAGTAAACAGGAAGAGCATTGTAAGCAAGGGAAGTTCTCTTGACTCTTGAGTTTTCTACTGGTTCTGTTCCCCTCCCTCCATCTTTCCTCTCCAGACTCTTCTACTACTAATGCATAAGTTCTTTTATCTTCTGTATCTGTCACTTCTTGAAAACGTTTTTTAATTGCCTCACTTCCTTTTGGTTTTTAAATTGTATTTCTCGGGCTGTGAGATGCCACGGTGGGTAACGGTACTTGCTGCCAAGCTTGACGACTTAAATTGCATCCCAGGGACCCACGGGGCGGAAGGAGAGAGCCAACTCCTGCCAGTATTTTTGTAGTTTGGATATGAAATGTTCCCTAAGGTTCATGTTTTGAAAGCTTGGTCCTCATCTGCTGGATCCAATCATTGAGAGGTGACCGGACCACTGAGATTGTGACTTAAACAGTGAATTAGTCAGTCCCTGGTGGCACTACTAAGAGGTGGTAGACACTGGGAGATGAGACAGATACTGCGAGCAATGCCCTGGAAGGGCATGTCTCCTCTCTCTTCAGGTCTCTGCCCTCATGAGGTAAACAGTCCTTCTTTGTCACACAATCCTGCCACCACGACCTTCCCTCGTCACCACAACAGCATCACAACGCAACCAGCTGGCTGTGTCCTGAAACCATGAGCCGAGAAGGCGCCCCTCCTTTTGTTTTTCTCTGGTAATTGTCACATAGTCAAAAAGCTGAGCGACATAATATTTTTCCTATCTTTTATCATGTTAATGCTGTTCAGTTCTTTTGAAATACTGGTACTGCACTCTGTCTTTTCAGCATGCATTCCAAAGTATTTTGTCCATGCTGCCTCCTGATGCCTGAAAACGTTGAAACTCTGAGAGCCTGATTGGCTCTTGAGGACTGCTCCACAGAGGGGAGGGGGAGGAGGGCTCCAACTCACCCCGGTACTGTAAGGCCACGTGACAATGCAGGTCGGGGGCCACTATAGACTGTCAACTGACTTCTCAACATCTAAACGTGTACCCAGGGACAGCTCTCTGCCTTAATCAGAGAAACTTCTCCTCACAGTGATCAGCAGTGAGTGCAGAGTCATAGCTGCCCAGGATGCAGAGGGTAAGTGATGGCTGTTGGCCCAGGCCAAACAAGGCATTTATCCCAGCCCCTCTAAGGCTCCGGGAACACTGCAGAAGGGGCAGGAAGTATGCAAGATCTAGGGGAAAGAGCTATGAAATGTCCTTCTCTAGACTTAACACAGCTACTGCAATTGTTCATCACAACACTTGCTTTCCTAAGCTGGGCCCCTATAAGACTGGCCGTGAAGGAGTCTGAGAACGAGAAGAGGCCCGCGAGGCCCTCCCTACCCTTTACCTTGGAACTATTCACGGCTGATAGACTTCGGGAGAGAGGGAGTTGTACCCACTGCTGAGCCTACCAGGTTCCAAACATCCAAACCCATGGTCACACAGAAGGCCCTGCTTAAACTGAGGTTAAACTCAATTAAACAAAACAAAATGAATATTGTGAAAGTGAGAAAGAGATTTGTGGGGAGGAGGGGGAGTTGGTGGGGTAGTAGAAAGGAGGGGACATAGGGAGGTAGTAGGGAGAATAGTTAGTATGTATTATATACATGCATGTAACTGTTTGAAAGCAGATTTAATTAACAAAAAAAATAGTGGTTTACCATTCAAGTCCACTTTTAAAAGTATGAAAAACAACATAATTTCAAAAACAAATCTGCAGGCTATTGTTTCCTTTGGAGAAAAGTAGGGAAAAGAAGTTAAAAAAAACCATCCAGTCAACTTTAGGCCAAAAATTCCAAAGTAGGCCATCCTTGCTCGAGACTGGAAGCTTGTTTTAAGGAACTTTCCCTTTTCACATTTCAAAAGCAAATAAGCTATCAGTGTCAAAAGAAACTGCTCCAAACAACACTCTATGAAAATCACAGTGTCAGCTCAGCCTCCGCTTTGAGGTCCTCCTTACAGATGAGAACTCTCTCTGACTCCTTCATGCAAATCAGAGAGATCATTGACGTTATGAGTTAATACGAAAGGGCATTTCAGAGACAGACACTATTCAGCATCAACACTGAACATACAGCTCTGCTTTTATTGAAATGTTTGATCAATTGTTTGATGTCAAACAATAATATTTAATTAGATATGTCTCTCTTGACATAAAAGGAAATTACAGAAAAATTAATTTAACGACTTCCCATCAATAAAAAAAAAAAAAAGAACTTTGCCCTCAAGCTGTTTTAATCATCTGACTTTTAAAATGCAAACTAGACTTTAATCCCACTCAGGAGGCCCAGGCAAGGAGCGCTCTCTGAGATCAAGGCCAGCCTGGTCTATGCAACAAATTCCAGAACAGCCAGAGCTACAAAGAGAGACCCTGTCTCAAAACTAATAAATAAGTAAAAATAAAGTAAAATGCAAGCCAGAGCTAAGGAAACGTCTCAGCAGATGAAAGCATTTGCCTCTAATTCTGACAGCCTGAGTCAAATCTCAAGAACCCACGGTGGAAGGAAGTACAGACTCCCAAAGTTGTCCTCTGCCCCCCTACACACACACACACACTGAGCACATGCACACCCACACTCACACACACACCAGCCCCCACGCACTAACAATAAATAAAATTAAGAGCATTGATACAAGCATCTCCACAACTATTTTCCACTTTCTTCAGATTAATAATGTACTTAATTGTGATAAACTTAACAACTTACATTAATATACATATTTAAGACAAGTGCCCATGAAAACAATCATCTTGCATAAGATATAGAAAAAGTCCAATCTTTTGATTGGAGGACACAAATCTCTGAACATTTGTATAAACAAATCCTACTATTACAGTAGAATCATAGGCTAGTAGTAGTAGTAGTAATTACAGTATATCATTTGTCGACAATGCTGCTTTCAGCCTTGCCACCTAAATAGAACTTTTGAAAGGTCAGAAAATTCCTCGTGACTTTTTTTTTCTTTTACAATCATTTCCTGTGACTTTCTACTTGTGCCCAAGTTCATTCCCAGAGTTAGCACAGGCTGCAGCACTGTCCTTGGGCGACAAGGCTCTAAACAGGGTTAGAGGAAGCACCAATAACGTGACAGCATGACTTGTGAGGAGGTGTCAAGAAAGAAAGGGACCCAGAGGAAAGAGAAAAACTAGAGAAAGACCCAAGGGGAGTCTGGGAAAAGACAAAATTGGAAGCAAATGTTTGGAGCCATCAAAATGTCACCTCCCCTTGCTGAAGAGACTTCTGCTGTTACTGTGACTATTCTCTGGATATGGAGTCACCATTTACTCTGTCACTGTGTACAAAGCACTGTGGTCCCCAGGAATCCTTTGTTCTCCTCACCACTATCCCAGGGAGCCATTCCACTTAACATCACAGATTTACTTATATGTAAAGTTCAAAGCAGTGTTATCCATAATGTCCAAAAAGTATTGACAATTCTAAGACCCATCAACTAATGGAATTATAAACAAAATTTAGGGTATTGATACAGAAGACTATTATTCAACACTAAATAGACAAGCATTGAAACGTGATAAAACCTGGTTAAATTTCAGAGACTATTCTATGTGAAGAGGGTGTGAAGGAGGATTGCCTATACCACAGGGCGGTTTATGTAAACATTCTAGGGTTGGCACATCTGTAGAGAAAGAAAGGAACTGGGAAATAATTTCTAATAGGTCTGGGATTTCTTTGGAGGTGATGAAACTGTTCTGATATTGATTGTAGGGATGCCTGCCCAATCTGTGAATATACTTAAAAACATTCAATAATACACTTAACTGGGAATATTATAAGGCACATGAATCATACAAGTCATAAACACAGTATTTTTTCAAATCACGGGTTGAATAAAGCCATCACCCTTGAGGAGAGGGGGTTAAGACTGACTTGTTTAAGCTTAAGAACTGGCCTATTCTTGAGACACTTAAAGAGAGCTAAAAATAAGAGAAAGTGTTCGTTTCTCTGCTGGGACTGCCAGCCAGAGATCTGAATGCTAGTAATCTCCATTAGTTAGCTGTACCCTTGAATAAAGAAATCTTGAACTATGGGAGGCACAAAATCCCTTGTTATGAAAATGCCACGGACGATCTTCTGTGCGCATGCCTCCCTGTGCTTCGAGCTCACCTAACCCATCACCAGGGAGCCTAACTCCTCAACTCTTCTCCCACCCGCTTCCTTTTCTGCATGTCCGGCTTCCACCACACACTGTCAGTCAGGTCTCCTGTCTTCATCATGTCTGGATGACTGGAACTGCTCCTGCTAGGTCTTGCTGCATCCATTCTGTGCCCTCTCCAGTCCCCACAACCACATTACCATCAGAATAATCTCCTTGAAACAAGGCTCTGTCAGTCCCCACCCGCTAGCCCTTCTGTGACTCCTTCTATATGCCAGAAATTTCATCCCAGCATGTTTTAAGAGGAAGACTAGGTGGAGGGATCTAGTGAAGAATGATTACGTCACTGAGGACATTGACTTTCGAAGGGTAAAAGTAATACTCCTGGGGCCCATGAGTTATTTCTCACAAGGAGGTGGTTAGAAAACTGTGAGCTTGTCCCTTGAATATTTCTTTATGGCTTCATGTCCCACTGTGTGACATCTCCCTCTTACACACATTCCCTCCATTCTGATGCTGCATACCATGAGATCCTCACTAAAGCCAAGATGATGCCAGGTCCATAGCCTTGAGTCTCTAGCACTCTGAGCCAAATAAACCTCTTCTTTATAAAGTGCTAGGCCTTGGGAATTTTGTTATAGCAACAGAAACACACTAATACACTTCACTTCCATTTTTCTCAAAGGATGAAAGTTAGTCGGTTCATTTTTCTACGCCCTGGTCACCTGGCTCCCAGTCTCATCTCTACCAAATGTCTACCCACCAGTGATGCCCTGCCTTTAGCCCTAGCAACAGGAGATCAGAGGCATGGGGGTCTCATATATATCACCTTTTTCACATATCCACACTGTCCTACACTGTTCTCCTCATGGAACTGCTCTTTCCCCAATTCTTTCTACCTACTAATAATGCCTAGACCAATGGTAGCTCATCTGATTGCCTTTAGGGTGGTAGCTGGGGTGAGGAACTGGCTAGAAAGAAATGCAAAGGAACTTTTTTCGGTGATCAAAACAGTTTGCATCTTGATTGGAGTGGGATTTTCAACATTCATTGAACTACATTACGATTTGCACTTTGTTTAAATTTTTTAAATGTTAAGAAACAACAACAAAAAGACACTTAGAAAGCATCATTTCCTAAAACAAGTTCCGTCAAGGAAGACACCTAACACAGACTGAGTTAGACATCATTCCTCAGTGGCCCCATGGCACCCTATGAATACTTTTATCACAGAGTTAACTTGTGCTACTATAGTGCACAGCTATAGAGTACACAGTATACATAGTACAGAGTGTCCTACAGTAGTACACAGTATATATAATACACAGTATACACAGTACACAGTATACATAGTACACAGTATACATAGTACACAGTATACATAGTACACAGTGTCCTACAACAGTACACAGTATACACAGTACACAGTATACATAGTACACAGTATACATAGTACACAGTATACATAGTACACAGTATACATAGTACACAGTATACATAGTACACAGTGTCCTACAGCAGTACACAGTATACATAGCACACAGTATACATAGTACACAGTATATATAATACACAGTATACATAGTACACAGTGTCCTATAGTAGTATACAGTATACATAGTACACAGTGTCCTATAGTAGTACACAGTATACATAGTACATAGTATACATAGTACACAGTGTCCTACAGCAGTACACAGTATACATAGTACACAGTATATGTAGTACACAGTATACATAGTACACAGTATCCTACAGTAGTACACATTATATATAATACACAGTATATATAGTACACAGTATATATAGTACACAGTATTAGTACATGGCTACTGTGTCTATCTTACCAAACTATGACCTTTAGGGTAAAAAATAAGTCTTAATGGTTGTGTATTACCAACAACTATACCTTTATGGTATCTCCAGCATAACACACACACACACACACACACACACACACACACACACACACACACA